ACACTCACCCCATCTAGTGCCGAGGTCAAGAAAGAGTAGGAGCTATACCGCCTCTCCCCCCAAGTGACCTACATGGTGTGTAGTGGGACTGCTTTACTTTTTTTAATGTAGTGCTAGAATATGAACAAATGTTTCAAGTCTCTGAAATACTTAAAAAAATGGGTTCATAACTACAAAATACAGTGTCATTAACCGGAAGACCACAATCAAGTTAATAATTATTAATGATACTAAATGTATCATGGTAACATTAACATATTTAACTCTTTCTAAAATGAGGATTTGAAACTACACGTTAAGAAATTACAAATATATATTAGCCCTGAAAAGAGGCATGCTTTGGCTCAGGTGGCTTGATGCTGGATTATCACCATGTAACCTGGGTTTAATCATGGCGGACATCATTAAACTCAAGCAAGGTTTTTATCCAAGTTCTTCGATTTTCCCCGCTAATCATCATGAATTATATGACAGCCCTAATCATGCAGCGCATTTTCATGCCCTCTGCCCTCAGTTTGTGGTGTTATCTCTGACCCCAGCTGGTCTCACAGAAAAAGTAATTTTACTCTGTAACCTGAAAAACAAGTTATGTTTATGGAAATGTTATCACACACTTTCAAGGAAAGGAATGCTTTTTTGTTTCAAATTTGTGTGTTCCCTAAATCATATTCTCTTAATGTCATGGTCATTTCATGTCAAACTTGTTACTTATAAAAACCATAAATTCATTTTAAACGAAAAATAAAATTAATATATAAAGAAAATTTATCACCACTATCACAAAGTATAATGAAATTTATCAGTCACAGGCACACTATTCCTGAAAGTGTTATATCAAGAAAATCTGACGTATGTTCTGGTTGAAAAAGTATTAAAATCATTTAGTGACGATGTAGTACTTATTTTGTTTGCAAAAATTAACTATGAAATATGAAATCAACCAATCAAGTTTGCAGAATTATCTTTCTACAGTTGATTACATTTCCTCTTGCTGTATTACCATTATTATTTAATGACAATTAAACACATCTCAGCTTGATATCTGAGCCAATGATAATTTAACCTACGTCATATAAAGTATTCAATTCAGAAGGAAACGTAAACATATTTTCTGGTAATCATCTGTAACTTGGGAAGAAAATTTGAATGTTCCCAATGTTGACTGTAGTTTGATCCCTGCACAGAACAATGCAAAAAATAAACATGTGTCATCTATACACATATTACGTTGGGGTGTCACTACATAATATTCTTTTACCTTTATCATTCGTCCATTGTAATTTATGCACAACACAGCTCACCAAGCACCGCATTAGTATACCGTTATTAATAATTAACCCAAACAGTAAAAGTTGGCTGGTAGAAACATAATACAGAGACTTAAATCCCCTATTCCTGTACCATAAGAGTTAACTACATTAATGTTCTACACCACCTAATAACACAAATTATTTTCATTAAAACCAATTTTGAATCATATAAATTGAAGTAATACACCCTCCCCATTTTTACACAAGTCTAGGATGATTAAAAATGATGATAATTTTGGTTCCATATTTTTTTTTTAAGAAATGGGCATAATTTTTCCTCTCTAACTTCAGGTTTTTTTCCCCCCTATTAATCAATGTTGCCAACAATTTATCTGATAATTCTGTAAAATAATTTTAAAGGAGTGCACAACCACTTTGGCCCCCCAGAAATCTTCTGCATAAATATTTAGCAGTAAAAAGTGTGGTTCTACAAATATCAATATTAAACACTGTATAAGTTTTGATGCATAATGTTAACTTCTTCTATCAGGAACCAGCTTGAATATTTTTCTATCGTGAGAATAATTAATGAGAAATTTCGTGTGTTTCTATCTACACAGACAGTACAATGCATTTCTCTGATTAAGGTTGGGCATTACTAGCATTACGCTGTTTGACCTGTGACCTGAATAACAATATTGACGTGTCACAGCTTACACACAATCACGCTAGCTCGCCATGTGCTGTGGTAATACGCAGATAAACCATTAAGCCCCATGGATTAAGTCATGTTGGCTGCCATTTGGTTTCAAGGTTTAAATTATTCAAATCCTATGTGCCCAGGAAATAAAGGTTAACGTAAATTCCATGGCGTATCGCAACAAAGTCAAACTTTATATGTGTTCTATTCACATTTTGTTCATTTCATAAGAGAATGGATCATTTTGATTTTAAATTGAAGACTTTGGATTCACTGTAACAAATTAAAAACATTTAGATTCATCTACAGCATTTGCTAAATTCTAGTAGGGCTACATTAGAAATCAATTTTTTGATTGTGATCTTAGTTTTGACAATGTACAGTCTGGTGGGTGATTACCGACATTTCAGAGGAATCCGCTGTCCCCATCTTCAGAGTAAATAATACAGATGAAATGTGGTTCGTTACGTAAAAAAGACGAACAGATAAATCTAAGGATAACGAGGACACTGGCCCATTAGAACCAGGGACGGAAGATAGAAGATACAGCTCCGGGATTTCATTTATGGTTCAATCCAACAACACCTCACTCTACCAACTTCTATCCTGAAGATAAAGGCAGCTGCTTCTTTTGAAACATAGCACCTACAGGACTACAAAGTGTCAATACATAGAAGACCAGAAGCTAATATTTTTTTCTGCTGTGGAAATCTCACATCCCAAATTAATTTTCTTTACTATTTATTCAGATTAACAAATTAATTTTGCTGCGCACACAATTTGTTAACCTTACAAGGCAAAAAAAAGGAAAATAATTAGAGTAAAGAAATAATTTAATATTCACTGCACAAATTTTATATGAATATGCGTATGCTACTGTGTCGCTCTGTGTATTTATTTACAGACGTGTACTGTAAAATTATTTTCTACTGAATAAAGTTAAGATGAGTTATATATTGTTTCGTACAGGTATATGAAATAATTACCTCATTAATACTCTTGTAGAAATTGGGTTAACGACGTTATCCATCGACAATTCTATCGGAAATTCATGCTTCAGAAACTACACAAGTTCAAAGCAGAAAACACAGCTACTTACAGACTTGCTACCAGCACTGCAGTTAATGCAAATAGAAAATACAGAATTAAAACCAATATAAGGAGACTGTATAAGAAAGCCATCACAACAGCAGCTAAAAGAGACCATAAAGAAATTGTTAAAGTTATGTTAAACTGAGAGAAAAAAAAGTAGATGCAAAGAGAGGACAAAGGAAAAAAATCTTCCCAGACCAAGAGGTAGAAAACATATACCTGCAAATGTATCGCCTCCTGCTGATTTCTGTTGTTGTGTTCTTTCCTACTCTCTGTTCTAGAAAATGCATAACAAGATGCAGTTCATGTCTTCCAGCTTAATATGAATTTGCTTAATGAATAACACTGGCTTGGAAGCGTATCGTATCGATAAATTTTCAGCGACTTAAAAAATACGTTTCTAAAATTACAAAAATCTACATTTTATATGTACAATTTTTTATATATATTTACGTATTTACAAAGAATTATATGAATTTCTTTTGGGATGTTACTACGGCAGTGCACGATTCAACTATCAAGTCTAAACTGCTACTAAAATTCAGAGTAGAATTATGTGCGAGAAGAAAAGTACTAAAGTATAAGATATGAGGTTGTCATGACAGTGGCTATGTCGTTCTACTGGGTTGTCGCGTCATGTTGGCTCACGAGTAGATCCCAATGTTTATCCAAAACGTTGGTGTCCGCCTACAAGTCCACACGGCATCATAACTTAGAAGAGCAACATCAACAAACACTACAGCGAATGAAATACGTGACTCGATGAAAACTAATGTATGTTTTAAGATTATGAGCAAATTTTCAAATGAAATGTATGTTATGCTGATAAGAAATTTGCTAAAACAGAGAGTGGGTTAATGTTCTTATTACGACATACTTAAAATAATAATGTCACTTCCACATTCCATATCAACAATTTTGTAGTAGTCTCTTCAAAACGTCTTAAATTATATCAATAATAATATTATTATTATTAATACATAAACAGAGATCTTATAAAAAAAATTGGATAAATCACATTTATTTATTATATTTTTTATTCCGTGGCGAAACAGGTCTCTGAGAGTCAAAGCCGACTAGCTTGGCTGCTGGCCTCACGTTCACATGCCTAAGCAGAGGCGAACGATCATCAAACCAGATATAGGGCGACGTGTGGTCAGCATGACGAACCCCCAGCCCAGTTTTCATGACCGGGATAAATCACATTATTTTAATTTACTGAAATTCAATTCTTACTAACAAAATAATTCCTTGGAGCAGTCGTTCTTGAGAAACTCTTCTACTCAAGAAAAAATTCTTTGCCTTTTATTGAACTAGAAGATTCATTACCATATTCACAAAAGCCTGTAACAAGTGTAGTAGATGCTTCTATAGTGAAATTACGTGGCGAAAAACAGGGTTTATAAACTGATACATCAACTATATTTAATGACAAGTACCAATGTGATTCTCTCAGACACAGTGTTTCAGTACTAAATTGCTATTACGGCAAGAGGAAATTAATTGCGCAATTCGAAGCGTTAATTCAGATGCAATGTCCATTACTGTCACCAAAGATAAATAAAAATGGACACAGATATTTTTGTATTCATCCAATACAGTTTACATAAATAATTTTTACTTGAAGCAAAAATCATAATTGGTAATAAAAACACATTTCTGAATATAAAGTAAACATATTTCATTTTAATTTATAAATTTAAAAAAATAACTTGTAAGTGACATCATCATTTTAAATATCAACTAAATCATAAAACATTAAATACATTTATCCATATGTTTTAAAGTTAGTCAAAACAAATTCTGATGACGACAGGTAAAAGTGGTTTTAAAACGGAAGGACGAGCACAGCGGATCCAAAAACACAATAAATGTATTAAATGTTTTATAACTTTTATTTTGTTGAAAGATCAGAGTTGTAGCAGTCACCTCGAGCAAGAGCAGTGATTTCTACTTACGTCCTGGCCAAAAGCATCCACAGACGCGGCAGCTTCGTTCACCGAGTTTCCACAATCAACACCATCAGAGGGCATGGTACTACTTACATCTTCATCGTGGTCGAAGGCGTTGAACACATCATACGGTAGACATGAGAGCAGATCGATTATGAACCACGACTTGAGATAGTTCATGCGTATCACTTTAGGGTCTGAGACCACTTCCCCTCCAGGTCCCACGAACGTTGTGTGAAAATTCAACACGATATCAATAAAAAAGATGACATCCACTATTGAGTCCACCACGAGTAATGACACATCCTCAGAAGTTTTGTTCTTAAAGGCGACGTTGTAGGGCACCATAATTGCAGTGTAGAATGTAAGGCATAGAATAATCCAGTCCCAGATAGCCTTAAATGCACAGTAATGTAACAGTATATGGGGCGGAGTTTTGGGTGCTTCTTGACGGTACTGGGGCATCACATCGGCATTCAGGCTCATCATCTGTGGTAGTTCCACGCGCCATCATTGTTTGCAGTATTGAAACAAAGGAATCAAGATAAAATGTTAAAGACTTTATGTTTACTACATGCAGTAAACTCCTGATTATTTGAAGGAGAGGAGATGTACGAATAATTGAAAAAACACAGATGTCCAAAAGATATTGTTCGGTGTATTCACAAAATATCACAAATTATTTTACCCCTTTTTTAAACGACTGACATTTATTTCAAAAAAGAATTTTGCAATTTTTTTTATATTGCTTAAATTCCTTCTCACAGTGGTACAAATTTTCCTGGCGCATGTAATATCACTATAGTCGAAACCTTTGACGCACGTATTCTAGCACTGTCAACACACGATATCCATTATGGTCATGTCCTTGAAATGCACTACTTTGTAGCTATTCTTCAATATTATCTTTCTTAAAGTTGGCCCTACTGATTTATTTCTCACGGAAACACTGAAAATCATCTTGTAGAGCTGAAAGAGGCTTTGGTAACTTATTCATAACAACGCTGTTCTTTACGGCGAAATGTTGTTAGCCTCACGCCCTGACCATAAGGTGCTTGTTAGATGATCTATGCCTCGGAATACACTTCCCTCTCCCAACCACAAGGGTTCTTGCTCGTAAACCCTTCCAGTATAATTTTGCTTCATCAGCTTTGCATATTTTATCTGGTTTCAAGTTTTCTTCGTGTAAAATTTCTGTAATTATGAAGATGGTTATCTTCTGGGTGATGAGTTATCACCCTCATGAAGGAGGCAGCAAGGACCTCAGAAATGTTCGTAAAATTCTATTGGACTACGCAGTACTATTTAACATCAACAATTTAAAGTTTGTGTATAGACTTGAATTATATTATATATTTGAATTATATTTGAAATATATTGGTTGCTACAACACTGGCACCAACGAGTAAGTCTCTCTCCGAGAACAGCAATTTTACATGAACCGTATTGCTGCTCCGATCTACGCAGGCATCCAATGGAGGCATTGAACTCTCATTCCAATTTCAAAGTTTCACAAAGAAACGCAACATCCACCTCTTCATACAGATTTTTTTCATACTCCTGCAGGTGGAAGGTCGAACAGCAGTATCACAGTCCCTTATAAATTTCATTAATTTCTTTTTCTTTTTACATCACATATGGTTTGTATCCCTGTCCCAGCATCGCTGACTAATTTTGACACCAACTGCCTATTCTAACATTTTTCAATTGACATGAACTTTAGTTTTGTCGTCATACAATTTTCTTACATTTTCTGGACATCGTACTTCAGATCCAAAAGCGTTAAGCAGTAAAAAAACCAAAAAACTCTGTACAACCATATTTTATCTAGATCCACCCAAT